CAACCATTTTTTCTCACGCGACTTATTTTAGTCACTTCCTTGAAACAATTATCACGTATTTCGATGGATCATTAGGTCTCACATTTATACAACCTTACTTTTTTTTCCGTAACCTAGAGGTCGTAACTGCTCCAGTTTTATGAAATAGACAGAGTTAGAGCAAATCCCCAGCTGCTTCTGACTCTCGACTTGTTTAATGTATCTATCTCACACGACGATAATTATCCCCCTTCCTGTTTATATTGTAAAGACTGTATCTCGTACAATCTCAATATTAACTAGTTTATTTTGGTAAAAGCTATTCACCAAGGGTCAATTCCGGACCCCCCTTCCTTCCTTTATAATTCTCTTATGAGATTTTGGTAACTATTCTCTGCCCTTCACAATAATTATTATTCTCATACAAGTTCAAATAATCTCACCAAAATCCATGAATAAAAATTACTGACCTCCTTGCAGTCGGGATTAAATGCTTTTTCAATCTCGTTAACGTCTTTATCGTTCATAAGATTTATCACCTGCCTGTTTATAACCTTAACGTCGAAGGCCAGGACTATTCTCCACGGATGCTATCATCTGCCCGTGCACGGTTTCGGTGTCCTTAGAACGACGAAGACGTATTTTTGAGATCCGCTCGAAGGACCACTTGTCATGAGAATTTCTATCTCTAATTCAACCTAAGCTTGAATCATTATCAGGGGGTTGTAAGGCTCTGGTTATAATCATAAATGATTCAAGGTCCACAACCAGCAAGAATGATCTGTATTTTTAATCATGGAGAGCTCTGCCGCCAAAAAACATACATACAGCTTTATACCCCTTGACACACAAAGGCAATTTGCTCCGCCCACCTTTAGGAGGCTTTTTTCAACCAGTTTTCTCAGTCCCCTTCACCCTGGAATGTTTAGTCCCGCCCCCCTCTGTTATTGGGTTGACACTACATTATAACTCTAACATCGTTCACACATTTATACTGTATTTGGGGTGAAATCCTTTAGTCATTATTCTTAAAATACAAATTAATCTATCATGATCCCATAGAGGTTAACGAAGATACCAGAGCATGGTGGCGGGTAATTATTATATATTTTTATATCAACTGTTTTATTTATTTATTATAACTTACCAAAACGGCAGAATAAACACAATTGGACAAATAAAAGCATTGTCAGTGCACATCCATAGTAGGGTAACTTGGGGGAAAATGCCCCACTTAAAAGGAACTGACAGAAAAAGTCTAACTTTGGAAAGATGTAGATACAGTGGGGAGAACAAGTATTTGATACACTGCCGATTTTGCAGGTTTTCCTAATTACAAAGCATGTAGAGGTCTGTAATTTTTATCATAGGTACACTTCAACTGTGAGAGACGGAATCTAAAACAAAAATCCAAAAAATCACATTGTATGATTTTTAAGTAATTCATTTGCATTTTATTGCATGACATAAGTATTTGATACATCAGAAAAGCAGAACTTAATATTTGGTACAAAAACCTTTGTTTGCAATTACAGAGATCAAACGTTTCCTGTAGGTCTTGACCAGGTTTGCACACACTGCAGCAGGGATTTTGGCCCACTCCTCCATACAGACCTTCTCCAGATCCTTCAGGTTTCGGGGCTGTCGCTGGGCAATACGGACTTTCAGCTCCCTCCAAAGATTTTCTATTGAGTTCAGGTCTGGAGACTGGCTAGGCCACTCCAGGACCTTGAGATGCTTCTTACGGAGCCACTCCTTAGTTGCCCTGGCTGTATGTTTCGGGACGTTGTCATGCTGGAAGACCCAGCCACGACCCATCTTCAACACTCTTACTGAGGGAAGGAGGTTGTTGGCCAAGATCTCGCGATACATGGCCCCATCCATCCTCCCCTCAATACGGTGCAGTCGTCCTGTCCCCTTTGCAGAAATGCATCCCCAAAGAATGATGTTTCCACCTCCATGCTTCACGGTTGGGATGGTGTTCTTGGGGTTGTACTCATCCTTCTTCTTCCTCCAAACACGGCGAGTGGAGTTTAGACCAAAACTCTCTATTTTTGTCTCATCAGACCACATGACCTTCTCCCATTCCTCCTCTGGATCATCCAGATGGTCATTGGCAAACTTCAGACGGGCCTGGACATGCGCTGACCTTGCGTGCGCTGCAGGATTTTAATCCATGACGGCGTAGTGTGTTACTAATGGTTTTCTTTGAGACTGTGGTCCCAGCTCTCTTCAGGTCATTGACCAGGTCCTGCCGTGTAGTTCTGGGATGATCCCTCACCTTCCTCATGATCATTGATGCCCCATGAGGTGAGATCTTGCATGGAGCCCCAGACCGAGGGTGATTGACCGTCATCTTGAACTTCTTCTATTTTCTAATAATTTTACCAACAGTTGTTGCCTTCTCACCAAGCTGCTTGCCTATTGTCCTGTAGCCCATCCCAGCCTTGTGCAGGTCTACAATTGTATCCCTGATGTCCTTACACAGCTCTCTGGTCTTGGCCATTGTGGAGAGGTTGGAGTCTGTTTGATTGAGTGTGTGGACAGGTGTCTTTTATACAGGTAACAAGTTCAAACAGGTGCAGTTAATACAGGTAATGAGTGGAGAACTGGAGGGCTTCTTAAAGAAAAACTAACAGGTCTGTGAGAGCCGGAATTCTTACTGGTTGGTAGGTGATCAAATACTTATGTCATGCAATAAAATGCATATTATTACTTAAAAATCATACAATGTGATTTTCTGGATTTTTGTTTTAGATCCCGTCTCTCACAGTTCAAGTGTACCTATGATAATAATCACAGTCCTCTATATGCTTTGTAAGTAGGAAAAACCTGCAAAATCGGCAGTGTATCAAATACTTGTTCTCCCCACTGTATGTGCATGCTGGCTCACTCCAAAATCATGGGCATTAATATGGAGTTGGTCTCCCCTTTACTGATATAACAGCCTCCACTCTTCCGGGAAGGCTTTCCACTAAATGTTAGAACATTGCTACAGGGACTTGCTTTCATTCAGCCAGAAGAGCATTAGTGAGGTCAGGCGATTTGGTCTGGCTTGCAGTCTGCGTTCCAATTCAGGTCAGGGCTCTGTGCAGGCCAGTCATGTTCTTCCACACCGATCTCGACAAACCATTTCTGTATGGACCTCGCTTTGTGCACGGGGTATTGTCATGCTGAAACAGGAAAGGGCCTTCCCCAAACTGTTGCCACAAAGTTGGAAGCACATAATTGTCTAGAATGTCACTGTATACTGTAGCGTTGATATCCCTTCACTGGAACTAAGGGGCCTAGCCCAAACCATGAAAAATAGCCCTAGACCATTATTCCTCCTCCACCAACCTTTACTGTGATGCGTGATTAGAAGGAGTCAGGCGCAGGAGGGTCAATCACAGAATACAGAGAATAGCGTCAACCAGTCCAGTGCGCAAAACAGGCGCACTGGAACAAAACAGGCACACGGGGAAAATATACCCCAGCAATACAAAATACACTGAGCTCAACCGCGCTACTAATCCTCACAATAAACAATCATCCACAAGGACAAGGGGGGCAGAGGGAACACATATACACTTACTAATGAGGGGATATGAACCAGGTGTGTGTAATAGACAAGACAAAACAAATGGAATGATGAGATATGGAGCGGCAGTGGCTAGAAGGCCAGTGACGACGAACGCCAAAGCCTGCCTGAACAAGGAGAGGAGGCAGCTTTGGAGGAAGTCGTGACATTTACAGTTGGCACTATGCATTGGGGCAGTCCGTCGGACTGCCAGATGGTGAAGCGTGATTCATCACTCCAGAGAACGTGTTTACAGTACTCCAGAGTGAAGGACCGCAGAGTGAAGGAAAAGCAGCCAACAAGTGTTCAGCATTTGTGGGAACTCCTTCAAGATTGTTGGAAACGCATTCCAGGTGAAGCTGGTTGAGAGAATGCCAAGAGTGTGCAAAACTGTCATCAAGGCAAAGGGTGGCTATTTGAAGAATCTGAAATATAATTTTTTTTTTTTGATTTGTTTAACACTTTTTTTGGTTACTACGAGATTCCATATGTGTTATTTCATAGTTTTGATGTCTTCACTATTATTCTACAATGTAGAAAATAGTAAAAATAAAGAAAAACCTTTAAGAATAAAGAAAAACCTGAATGAGTAGGTGTGTCCAAACTTTCGACTGGTAGTGTGTGTGTGTGTGTATATATGTATATGTATATGTATGTATATATATATATATATATATATATATATATATATATATATACATACATATACATATACATACATACACACACACACACACACACACACACATACATACATACATACATACATACACACAAAAGTGAAAGTCAAACACCCATACACATCACACAAATAGGGTTAACCCACTTGGTGGGAATTGTAACGTGGCTCATATAGCGTGGATCACTACATTACATTCAAATGTCAAAACATGTTTATTGTTTTCTAAAGTTAAGAACCTCCAATAGCCTACTGTAGTTGCATGTTTTTATTAGTATTTTCGTATTGAAGTGTTCATATGTGGGAGTTTTATTCAGAATGAACTCTTATTGGATGGTTTTAGGCTGTAATTTAAAAACATGGTCAATCACATCTGTTTGCTATTGTAGTCAACAATAACCTCAGTGTAAAGAGCAGGTGGCTGGAGTCAATACTTATGTATTTTATTGATGTATTAAGTTTATTTGGACATGGACAATCTAGAACAAAAACTTTTGTCTCATTATCTTGAGAAATGATGCTTTGCACCACATTTAGATAACAGCTCATTTCCATTTGCAGTCCCCTGGCAGGTGAACATGTAAACATGAAACCATTAAATACAATCAGATATCACTTCAGTGTGAGGGTTTCCTCTGATGTTATGGTGTGTAATCTATGGTGTGTAATTTGCATTGTGCTGCTTTTAGTGTCTGTCTGTTGTGTATTACATTGTTGTGATTTATGTAGGCTATTGGCTGGTGCAATCAAATAAAGTACTATATCTTACCTTATCCACAGAAAATGCAGAATGACTGTAGCACAGCCAACTTTAGAGAGGTGGTGGAGCACTTGTTCCAGGTCATCCCTGATGATAACCTTTATATGGATGTAGGCCCTGAGCGCTGTAGGACCTGTGCTGTGGTGGGGAACTCTGGGAACCTTAAGGGCTCTCACTACGGAGCCATCATCGACTACAGGGATGTCATCATAAGGTATAGGCCAACTGAGAGTGTGTTGATAGAGGGCACACTTTCCACAAAGCCTGTTCTAGCATGAGCAGTGCCATTGAGGACTCAGCAGGAGGGATCAGCTATCTCTCTAGATAGAATAAGAAGAAATCAACTACTTTAAAATAGAGATAGCCCTCGAAGATGATACCAATGCTGTCATTATGTGTTTTGAAATCAAGTGCTTTGAACTATTGTAGTCATGATATTGTTCATAGCAATTTTTTGACTGTGTTATCCAGAATGAACATGGCTCCGACCTTTGGCTATGAAAAGGATGTAGGAAGCCCTGAAAAAAAAAATATATATATTGTGAATCGCCCATAAGTTTGAAAAAGTTAGGCCATATCACCCTGCCTTACCTAAGCATGATTTGGGCCAGTAATGTGTGATGATACCGCATATTGTCAGAGCTATGCTATGCATAGCCATTCGATGTCAGTGTTGTTCTTCTGTACTCCCATCGTGTGTAGTATACAGTGTGTCTTGTAGTGAAGTACAATACTATCCACATTCCTAGCAGAGCATGGCTGTTGAAATGTATAATAAGTCTTACCTCGTCACAAATGTGTATGGCTAATATTAAAGCCATGAATCCAGTGGAGGGGTATTTGCCTTGATAGTCAAGCCAGACTTCATGAACATATTTCATAAACACAGGATTAAGAACCAAGACCTGCATGGAATATATTATACATAACATGTCTATATCAACATGATTTAATAAGAAAAAGAGATGATGACTTGTGATGCATCAAATTTGAGAACTTAATTTGTTAGATTGATATTGTCAGAGAATAGATGGCACTGTTAGTACACTTCCATTCTGATGCAGTCTCAAACTATGAGCCAGTTCATGACTCTTAATGACATATTTGCCCTTAGGCAAATAACAATCCAAATTATTTCTGGACCTCACTGCCTCCTTTGTTAGGAAACCACCCATACCAAGAGCCATATTTAGATTTGTTTTATTTATTTATGGAGGGTGCCTTCAGAAAGTATTTAGACCCCTTTACATTTTCCACATTTTGGTACGTTACAGCCTTATTCTAAAATGGATTTAAAAACTAATAATCCTCAGCAATCTACACACAATACCCCATAACGACAAAGTGAAAACAGGTTTTTAGAAATGTTTGCAAATGTATAAACAATTAAAAACAGAAATACCTTATTTACATAAGTATTCAGACCTTTTACTATGAGACTTGAAATTGAGATCAGGTGCATCCTGCTTCCATTGATCATCCTTGAGATGTTTCTACAACTTGATTGGAGTCCACCTGTGGTAAATTCAATTGATTGGACATGATTTGGAAAGGCACACACCTGTCTATATAAGGTCCAACAGTTGACAGTGCATGTCAGAGCAAAATCCAAGCCATGAGGGCGAAGGAATTGTCCGTAGAGCTCTGAGACAGGATTGTGTCGAAGCACAGATCTGGGGAAGGGTACCAAGAAATGTGTGCAGCATTGAAGGTCCCCAAGAACACAGTGGCCTCCGTCATTCTTAAATGGAAGAAGTTTGGAACCACCAAGACTCTTCCTAGAGCTGGCCGCCCGGCCAAACTGAGCAATCGGGGGTGAAGGGCCTTGGTCAGGCAGGTGACCAAGAACCCGATGGTCACTCTGACAGAGCTCTAGAGTTCCTCTGTGGAGATGGGAGAACCTTCCAGAAGGACAACCATCTCTGCAGCACTCCACCAATCAGGCCTTTATGGTAGTGGCCAGACGGAAGCCACTCCTCAATAAAAGGCACATGACAGCCCGTGGAGTTTACCAAAATGAACCTAAAGACTCTCAGACCATGACAAACAAGATTCTCTGGTCTAAGAAAACCACGATTGAACTCTTTGGCCTGAATTCCAAGCGTCACGTCTGGAGGAAACCTGGCACCATCCCTACGGTGAAGCATGGTGGTGGCATGCTGTGGGGATGCTTTTCAGCTGCAGGGAGACTAGTCAGGGTTGAGGCAAAGATGCACGGAGCAAAGTACAGAGAGATCCTTGATGAAAACCTGCTCCAGAGCTCTCAGGACCTCAGACTGGGGTGAAGGTTCACCTTCCAACAGGACAACGACCCTAAGCACAAAGCCAAGACAACACAGGAGTGGCTTCAGGATAAGGCTCTGAATGTCCTTGAGTGGCCCTGCCAGAGCCGGATTTAAACCTGATCGAACATCTCTGGAGAGACCTGAAAATAGCTGTGCAGCAACACTCCCCATCCAACCTGACAGAGCTTGAGAGGATCTGCAGAGAAGAATGGGAGAAACTCCCCAAATACAGGTGTGCCAAGCTTGTAGCATCATACCCAAGAAGACTCAAGGCTGTAATCGCTGCCAAAGGTGCTTCAACAAAGTACTGAGTAAAGAATATTAATACTTATGTAAATGTGATATTTCTGTTTTTAATTTTTAATAAATGAGCAAACATTTCTATAAACCTGTTTTTGCTTTGTCATTATGGGGTATAGTATGTAGATTGATGAGGGGGGAAAAAAACAATTTAATACATTTTAGAATAAGGCCATAACCTAACAAAATGTGGAAAAAGTAAAGGGGTCCGAATACTTTCAGAAGGCACTGTATGTATACTTATTCATCGTAATATATGGCTATGCCCATACCTAACACATACATCCTGAATTACAAGCATTACAAGTGTATCATACTGTTCAAGATATAAAAAGATAACGCGTTAGAGGTCATTGACTTTATAGTAAAGTAAGTAGGCTTGTACTGGAACAGCTCATAGGAGCAGGAGCCTATATCCTGTTTCTGTAGCATGAAGCAGCTTGATGTACAAGTATCACCCCTTGACATGACGCTAGTCTATCGCAGGGCCTTATCCTCAATCTATCTCCTTAATGCTGAGTACCATGCAGAGACACACCGGGTCCCATTTTTAGACTTTGGTACGACTCGGCCGGGGTTTGAACTCCCAACCTTCCAATCTGATGGCTGACACTAACCACAAGGCCACTAGATGTATTATAATAATAATACATTATCATGATCAACAAGGTGACTCACAATCTTTGTTGCCATTTATCTTTGGTCTAAGAGATACATTTGAGCTGTTGAATAGAAGAGGTGCTATGTAATCTTCGAAAAATGCATGGCGTAACAAACTGCTGGACTAATCAAAAGATAATCTATAATAAGTAGTTACTCACAAAGTGATGTTAGATCCATTGATGATGGCGCCGGGTAGCCACTGAAAGTCCAGAGTCTTGAAAGGGATCAGCAGGAACCTAGTGGTGTTGTCCAGATCTATGTCACTCTCTGGGTACATGATTGTATGCGTAGTCTGGCTTCCTACATCCTTTTCATAGCCAAAGGTCGGAGCCAAATTTTCTAAAACAACTTTATAGTAGAGAAATTAACATTCAATTTTCTGGCAACAGCTCTGGTGGATATTCCTGCAGTCAGCATACCAATTGCATGCTCCCTCAAAACTTGAGACATCTGTGGCATTGTGAAGTGTGAAAAAACTGCACATTTTAGTGGCCTTTCATTGTTCCCAGCACAAGGTGCACATGTGTAATGATCATGCTGTTTAATCAGCGTCTTGATATGCCACACCTGTCAGGTGGATGGATTATCTTGGCAAATAAGAAATGCTCACTAACAGGGATGTAAAAAAAATTGTGCACATGATTTGGTGGTCCTCCTCGTGGTCCTCTGTAGCTCAGCTGGTAGAGAATGGCGCTTGTAACGCCAAGGTAGTGGGTTCGATCCCCGGGACCACCCATACACAAAAATGTATGCACGCATGACTGTAAGTCGCTTTGGATAAAAGCGTCTGCTAAATGGCATATTATTATTATTATTATTTGACAGAAATAAGCTTTTTGTGCTTATGGAACATTTCTGGGATCTTTTATTTCAGCTCATGAAACATGGGACCAATACTTTACATGTTGCATTTATATTTTTGTTCAGTATAACTTGTTAGCTAGCAAATAGATCCACGTTGGCTAGATGTTAAAGTGGAACTGACAGTGTTTTAGAAACATGAAATATTATTAAAATCTGTTAATATACACCCCCAGGAAGAATGATGCATTTTTGTTTGACATTTTCTGACAAGCGAGCACTTAGATTGTCATTTTCACGTTTTCATACATTCATAGAATGTTTGGGAATGGGGTACAGTAAGGCATTTATGAAAATTCTATGGCCATGCGTTTGGACAATTAATAGACACTGCAGCAAATAAAACCTATAATAAAAACACCTGTCTTGTCCAGCACAGGAGTCTTACACAGACCAGTGCGCCATAGCCAATCAGAGCTACAGTAGGCCTATATGCAAATAAGCCATTTGCCACATTGGCCTGCCATCATTCACTTTGAACTGGACTGTGTTTACAGGCAGTAGCAACAGCGGGACTTTAGATCAATAGAAAGCATTCGCCAAAAGCCACAAAATACACCTGAATGGATTTGTGCAAATATGTAAATACCACTGGAGTCTTCTTACATTTGGGAACTTTACAGTCCTATTCATCCACTAACCATGAAAAGGTAGGCTCTCTCCCTCAGTTGCCTATGCACATCAACAAGATCAACAACTAATGTTAGCCAGAGCGAGATGAGCTAAAATCTAACGAAGAAACAGTAGATAAACCCTGTCAAAGCTTTTCAGCTTGGCCGTCAAAATTGCATTTATAAACGATGGGGAATAGTAGCCTGCTTGCCCTTCTGCAGCTTGCCTGCCAATGCATGCGTGTCCCAACCCACGTTTTGACAACTGAATGAGAACTTGCCTGTCCGCCCATTTGGTCGATGCCAAATACATTTGATTAACTGTAACAGTCGTTCAACTTCAGCATAGCTAGCTAGCAAAGTGATTCACATTTCTTGCTAGCTAACCAAATGACACCTGCATCTCTAGCTGTAGCCACAGAAAAACGCTATGGGGGGAAAAAGTCGGCATCTCTCCCGCTCTTCCAATGACAACATCCTTCCAGCAGCTAGCTAGCTCATGTTAAACTCAGTGTTTTTAGCTTACTAAATAAAAAGTTACATAAACAGATAAGCTAGCATATTTGCCACGTTATGACTGACTTGTGATCATTGCCCTTGCTAGTTTGATTGTATTGACATTCTCAGCCTTAGTTAGCACACTCGTCCGTTTTTGTCCAAAATATTGAGTAATCTAAACTGAAACAGTGCATCCTGAATGGAGGCAGCAAACAATGTACCAGGCCAGCTGTGATTTAGAACCTGCTATAATATTTGTTGGACTACTAAGACATGTATTGGTGAATTATATTAATCATACATTGTACTGCATCCATCTATTCTGCCCACAATGCCTTACTCTACGTCATGGACTTTTTTGTTAAATATAACTTATTTTTAAAACCTCTTGGTTTTGTAGTATAAACTGGGAATGTGATTTTATGAGTGATATTATTGTCTTGTTTGTTTCATATCTGCAAAGTAGTTAACGCTGTCAGTTCCACTTTTAAATATAAAGATTAGCTAGCTACTCACTAGCACGTGGGCTTGTGCTTGAGAGATTGTTTATGATACCTGTGTTAATTTTCTATAATGCCTGCTACAAGAAGTTGGTCATTATTAGTGAATGTGCATTATGCATGGTTCAGGTTAAATTTGTAACAAAAGGGCATTTTGATAGACAGACTTGAAAGCAAGGTCGGTGATTATTGCAACAACAAAAAAAGCAGGTAAAACTATTTTGATAAGATAATTACATTTTTAGTGGGTCTCATGGTTATGGAAGGCTTATATTTAGCCTATGTATAATTGTCCAAATGCATGGCCATAGAATTTTCACAAATGCCTTACTGTATCTCATTCCCAAACATTCTATGAATGTATGAAAACGTGAAAATGACAATCTAAGTGCTCGCTTGTCAGAAAATGTCAAACAAAAAGGCATCATTCTTCCTGGGGGTGTATATTAACATCCCTGTTAGTGAGCATTTCTTATTTGCCAAGATGATCCATCCACCTGACAGGTGTGGCATATCAAGACGCTAATTAAACAGCATGATCATTACACAGGTGCACCTTGTGCTGGGAACAATAAAAGGCCACTAAAATGTGCCGTTTTTTCACACAACACAATGCCACAGATGTCCCAAGTTTTGAGGGAGCATGCAATTGGTATGCTGACTGCAGGAATGTCCACCAGAGCTGTTGCCAGAGAATTGAATGTTAATTTCTCTACTATAACGTTGTTTTAGAAAATTGGGCTCCGACCTTTGGCTATGAAAAGGATGTAGGAAGCCAGACTACGCATACAATCATGTACCCAGAGAGTGACATAGATCTGGACAACACCACTAGGCTCCTGCTGATCCCTTTCAAGACTCTGGATTTTCAGTGGCTACCCGGCACCATCATCAATGGATCTAACATCACTTTGTGATTAACTACTTCTATAGATTCTCTTTTGGTTAGTCCAGCAGTTTGTTACACCATGCATTTTCCTAAGATTACATAGCACCTCTTCTATTCAACAGCTCAAATGTACCTCTTAGACCAAAGATAAATGGCAACAAAGATTGTGAGTCACCTTGTTGATCATGATAATGTATTATTATTATAATACATCTAGTGGCCTTGTGGTTAGTGTCAGCCATCAGATTGGAAGGTTGGGAGTTCAAACCCCGGCCGAGTCATACCAAAGTCTAAAAATGGGACCCGGTGCGTCTCTGCATGGTACTCAGCATTAAGGAGATAGATTGAGGATAAGGCCCTGCGATAGACTAGCGTCATGTCAAGGGGTGATACTTGTACATCAAGCTGCTTCATGCTACAGAAACAGGATATAGGCTCCTGCTCCTATGAGCTGTTCCAGTGCAAGCCTACTTACTTTACTATAAAACATCTGCAGAGTCAATGATCTCTAACGCATTATCTTTTTATATCTTGGACAGTATGATACAATTGTAAAGCTTGTAATTGAGGATGTATGTGTTAGGTATGGGCAGAGCCATATATTACGATAAATAAGTATACATACAGTGCCTTCGGAAAGTATTCAGACCCCTTTACTTTTTCCACATTTTGTTAGGTTATGGCCTTATTCTAAAATGTATTAAATTGTTTTTTTCCCCTCTCATCAATCTACACACAATACCCCATAATGACAAAGCAAAAACAGGTTTATAGAAATGTTTGCTAATTTATTAAAAATAAAAAACTGAAATATCTCATTTACATAAGTATTCATATTCTTTACTCAGTACTTTGTTGAAGCACCTTTGGCAGCGATTACAGCCTCGAGTCTTCTTTGGTATGACGCTACAAGCTTGGCACACCTGTATTTGGGGAGTTTCTCCCATTCTTCTCTGCAGATCCTCTCAAGTTCTGTCAGGTTGGATGGGGAGTGTTGCTGCACAGCTATTTTCAGGTCTCTCCAGAGATGTTCGATCAGGATTTTTTAAAATGTGTATTTATTTTATTTCACCTTTATTTAACCAGGTAAGCCAGTTGAGAACAAGTTCTCATTTACAACTGCGACCTGGCCAAGATAAAGCAAAGTAGTGTGATAAAAACAACAACACAGAGTTACATATGGGGTAAACAAAACATAAAGTTATTTTATATTATTATTATTATTATTATTATTATTATTATTATAATAAAGTCAAAAATACAAACAGAAAATATATATACAGTGTGTGCGAATGTAGTAAGTTATGGAGGTAAGGCAATAAATTGGCCATAGTGCAAAATAGTTACAATTTCGTATTAACACTGGAATGATAGATGTGCAAAAGATGATGTGCAAATAGAGATACTGGGGTGCAAATTAGCAAAATAAATAACAATATGGGGATGAGGTAGTTGGGTAGGCTAATTTCAGAATGGCTGTGTATAGGTGCAGTGATCGGTAAGCTGCTCTGACAACTGACGCTTAAAGTTAGTGAAGTCTCCAGCTTCAGAGATTTTTGCAGTATGTTCCAGTCATTGGAAGCAGAGAACTGGAAGGAATGGCTGCCAAAGGAGGTGTTGGCTTTGGGAATGACCAGTGAGATACAGTGGGGAAAAAAAGTATTTAGTCAGCCACCAATTGTGCAAGTTCTCCCACTTAAAAAGATGAGAGAGGCCTGTAATTTTCATCATAGGTACACGTCAACTATGACAGACAAAATGAGAAAAAAAATCCAGAAAATCACATTGTAGGATTTTTAATGAATTTATTTGCAAATTATGGTGGAAAATAAGTATTTGGTCTCCTACAAACAAGCAAGATTCTGGCTCTCACAGACCTGTAACTTCTTCTTTAAGAGGCTCCTCTGTCCTCCACTCGTTACCTGTATTAATGGCACCTGTTTGAACTTGTTATCAGTATAAAAGACACCTGTCCACAACCTCAAACAGTCACACTCCAAACTCCACTATGGCCAAGACCAAAGAGCTGTCAAAGGACACCAGAAACAAAATAATGCTGTAACTTAACAAAATGTGTAAAAAGTCAAGGGGTCTGAATACGTTCTGAATGCACTGTATGCACTGTATACCTGCTGGAGCGCAGACTACGGGTGGGTGTTGCTATGGTGACCAGTGAGCTAAGGTAAGACGGGGATTTGCCTAGCAGTGATTTATAGATGATCTGGAGCCAGTGGGTTTGGCGACGAATATGTAGTGAGGGCCAGCCAACAAGAGCGTACAGGTCACAATGGTGGGTAGTATATGGGCTTATGTGACAAAACGGATGGCACTGTGATAGACTACATCCAATTTGCTGAGTAGAGTGTTGGAGGCTATTTTGTAAATGACATCGCCGAAGTCAAGGATCGGTAGGATAGTCAGTTTTACGAGGGTATGTTTGGCAGCATGAGTGAAGGAGGCTTTGTTGCGAAATAGGAAGGCGATTCTAGATCTAACTTTTGATTGGAGATGCTTAATGTGAGTCTGGAAGGAGAGTTTACAGTCTAACCAGACACCTAGGTATTTGTAGTTGTCCACATACTCTAGGTCAGACCCGCCGAGAGTAGTGATTCTAGTCGGGTGGGTGGGTGCAAGCAGCGTTCGGTTGAAGAGCATGCATTTAGCTTTACTAGTGTTTAAGAGCAGTTGAAGGCTACGGAAGGAGTGTTGTATGGCGTTGAAGCTCGTTTGGAGGTTTGTTAACACAGTGTCCAATGAAGGGCCAGATGTATACAAAATGGTGTCGTCCGCATAAAGGTGGATCCGAGCTTCACCAGCAGCAAGAGCAACATCATTGATATACACAGAGAATAGAGTCGGCCCGAGAACTGAACCCTGTGGCACCCCCATAGAGAAGGCCAGAGGTCCAGACAACAGGCCCTCCGATTTGACACATTGAACTCTATCTGAGAAGTAGTTGGTGAACCAGGTGAGGCAGTCATTAGAGAAACCAAGGCTATTTAGTCTGCCAATAAGAATGCAGTGGTTGACAGAGTCGAAAGCCTTGGCCAGGTCGATGAAGACGGCTGCGCAGTACTGTCTTTTATCGATCGCGATTATAATATTGTTTAGGACCTTGAGCGTGGCTGAGGTGCACCCATGACCAGCTCGGAAACCGGATTGTATAGCGGAGAAGGTACGGTGGGATTCGAAATGGTCGGTGATCTGTTTGTTAACTTGGCTTTCAAATACTTTCGAAAGGCAGGGCAGGATGGATATAGGTCTGTAACAGTTTGGATCTAGAGTGTCACCCCCTTTGAAGAGGGGGATGACCGCAGCAGCTTTCCAATCTCTTGGGATCTCAGACGTTATGAAAGAGAGGTTGAACAGGCTAGAAATAGTGATTGCGACAATTTTGGCTGCTAATTTTAGAAAGAAAGGGTCCAGATTGTCTAGCCCAGCTGGTTTGTAGGGGTCCAGATTTTTCAGCTCTTTCAAATTCTCTCTGAATTTGTGTGAAGGGGGGGGGGGGGGGGGGGGGGGGGGTAGTGGTAGCCAGGTGGAAAGCATGGCCAGCCATAGCAAAATGCTTGTTGAAATTCTCGATTATTGTAGATTTATCGGTGGTGACAGTGTCTCCTAGCCTCAGTGCGGGGGGCAGTTGGGAGGAGGTGCTCTTATTTTCCATGGACTTTACAGTGTCCCAAAACTTTTTGGAGTTAGTGCTACAGGATGCAAATTTCTGTTTGAAAAAGCTAGCCTTTTCTTTCCTAACTGATTGTGTATATTGGTTCCTGACTTCCCTGAGAAGTTGCATATCGCAGGGGCTGTTCGATGCTAATGCAGTACGCCACAGGATGTTTTTGTGCTGGTCAAGGGCAGTCAAGTCTGAGGAGAACCAGGGGCTATATCGGTTCTTAGTTCAGAATGGGGCATGCTTATTTAAGATTGAGAGGAAAGCACTTTTAAAGAACAACCAGGCATCCTCTACTGACGGAATGAGGTCAATATCCATCCAGGATACCTGGGCCAGGTCAATTAGAAAGGCCTGCTCGCTAAAGTGTTTTAGGGAGCGTTTGACAGTGATGAGGGGTGGTCGTTTGACCGCGGACCCATTACGGACGCAGGCAATAAGGCAGTGATCGCTCAGATCCTGGTTGAAGACAGCGGAGGTGTATTTAGAGGGTAAATTTGTCAGGATGATATCTATGAGGGTGCCCATGTTTACAGATTTAGGGTTGTACCTGGTAGGTTCGTTGATAACTTGTGTGAGATTGAGGGCATCTAGTTTAGATTGTAGGTTGGCCGGGGTGTTAAGCATATCCCAGTTTAGGTCACCAAGCAGTACGAACTCTTAGGATAGATGGGGGGCAATCAGTTCACATATGGTGTCCAGGGCACAGCTCGGGGCTGAGGGTGGTCTCTAGCAAGCGGCAACAGTGAGAGACTTATTTCTGGAAAGGTGGATTTTTAGAAGTAGAAGCTCAAACTGTTTGGGCACAGACCTGGATAGTACGATAGAGCTCTGCAGGCTATCTCTACAGTAGATTGCAACCCTACCCGCTTTGGCAGTCTTTATCGAGACGGAAAATGTTGTAGTTGGGGATGGACATTTCTGAATTTTTGGTGTCCTTCCTAAGCCAGGATTCAGACACTGCTAGGACATCAGGGTAGGCGGAGTGTGCTAACGCAGTGAATAACTCAAACTTAGGGAGGAGGCTTCGAATGTTAACGTGCAAGAAACCAATGCTTTTACGGTTACAGAAGTCAACAAATGATAACGCCTGGGGAGTAGGAGTGATACTGGGGGCTACAGGGCCTGGGTTAACCTCTACATCACCAGAGGAACAGAGGAGGAGTAGAATAAGGATACGGCTAAAGGCTTTAAGTACTGGTCTTCTAGTGCATTGGGTACAGAGAAAAAAAGGGGCAGGTTTCCGGGCGTTGTAGAATAGATTCAGGGCATTATGTACAGAAAAGGATATGGAAGGATATGAGTACAGTGGAGGTAAACCTAAGCGTTGGGTAACGATGAAAGAGATAGTATCACTGGAGGCACCGATTGAGTCGGTCTCCGCGTGTATGGGGGGTGGGACAAAGGAGCTATCTATGGCAGGTTGAGCTGGGCTGGGGGATCTACAGTGAAATAGTACAATAAGAAATAACCGAAACAGCAATAAGCAAGGCATATTGAAATGGGAGAGAGGCATAAAGCAATCACAGGTGTTATTCGAGAGCTAAGACAACAGCTGGTAATGGCGACAAAGTTTTGGCTGAGGCTAAACATAAACAGGATGCGGTACCGAATAAAGGAACAGTCCAGCAGGCATCAGCTGTATAGCTGAGTTATCATAAAAGGTCTGGTGAACAGCAATAGGAGAGTTCGGAGGTAGTTCGGGGGCTGCTGTAGCACTAGCGAGCAAGAGGCCACGGCTAGCGTGTGCTAGCTGGCCGGGGCTAGCAGATGGATCTTCGTGGTCGACGTCGTAACGGGAAACCTGTTGTAATCACATCAGACGATTTCGTCGGCAGATCAGTCGTGTTGGATCGGCGGGGCTCCGTGTCAACACTAGGAGGTCCCGTCCGGTTGACAGAGAGGTAGATAGCCAGGAGAAGGGCCTGGCTCGCGGCTAGCTCGAGGCTGATTAGCCAACAACAACGTCCATTTGATTGCAGCTATCTAGCTACGATGATCCGGTGTTAAAGGTCCAGTGAATCAGTGATTCCGGCAGAAAAACCGATATGTTCTGGGTCGATAACGCGCTGTGCAGACATTGCAGACTGGCGGATAATAGTCCAGGCTAGAGCTGGCTGGTAGGTAGTGCAGGCCAAGGACAATGGTGAGAAACCGCTAGCGGTGGCTAATAGCAAGTAGCTAGTTAGCTGGCTACTCCCGTCCGGTAGACAGAGAGGTAGATAGCCGGGATATGGGCCTGGCTCAAGGCTAACTGGTGCTTGCTACAGGGGCAGTGGTGATTAGTCAAAAAGCACAATCCAATTCGGTTATGGCTAGCTAGTTGCGATCCGGTGTTAATGTCCAGTGATTCAGTTATTCCGGCAGAAAATCAGATGTTCTGGGTGAAAACCGCTAACGGTGGCTAATAGCAAGTAGCTAGTTAGCTGGCTAGCTGGTGTCAACTCAAGGACATTCAGAGCTTTGTCCTGAAGCCACTCCTGTGTTGTCTTGGCTGTGTGCTTAGGGTCGTTGTCCTGTTGGAAGGTGAAACTTCGCACCACTCTGAGGTCCAGAGAGCTCTGGAGCAGGTTTTCATCAAGGATCTCTCTGTACTTTGCTCCGTTCATCTTTGCCTCAATCCTGACTAGTCTCCCAGTCCCTGCCGCTGAAAAGCATCCCCACAGCATGCCACCACCATGCATCACCGTAGGGATGGTGCCAGGTTTCCTCCAGACGTGACACTTGGCATTCAGGCCAAAGAGTTCAATCTTGGTTTCATTAGACCAGAGAATCTTGTTTCTCATGGTCTGAGAGTCTTTAGGTTAATTTTGGCAAACTCCACGGGCTGTCATGTGCCTTTTACTGAGGAGTGGCTTCCGTCTGGCCACTCTACTATAAAGGCCTGATTGGTGGAGTGCTGCAGAGATGGTTGTCCTTCTGGAAGGTTCTCCCATCTCCACAGAGGAACTCTAGAGCTCTGTCAGAGTGACCATTGGGTTCTTGGTCACCTGCCTGACCAAGGCCCTTCACCCCCGATTGTTCAGTTTGGCCGGGCGGCCAGCTCTAGGAAGAGTCTTGGTGGTTCCAAACTTCTTCCATTTAAGAATGACGAAGGCCACTGTGTTGTTGGGGACCTTCAATGCTGCAGACATTTCTTGGTAACCTTCCCCAGATCTGTGCTTCGACACAATCCTGTCTCGGAGCTCTACGGACAATTTCTTCGACCTCATGGCTTGGATTTTGCTCTGACATGCACTGTCAGCTGTTGGACCTTATATAGACAGGTGTGTGCCTTTCCAAATCATGTCCAATCAATTGAATTTACCACAGGTGGAATCCAATCAAGTTGTAGAAACATCTCAAGGATGATCAATGGAAACAGGATGCACCTGATCTCAATTTCAAGTCTCATAGCAAAGGGTCTGAATACTTATGTAAATAAGGTATTTCTGTTTTTAGTTGTTAATACATTTGCAAAAATGTCTAAAAACCAGTTTTCGCTTTGTCGTTATGGGTTATTGTGTGTAGATTGCAGAGGATTATTAGTTTTTAAATCCATTTTAGAATAAGGCTTTAACGTAACAAAATGTGGAAAATGTAAAGGGATCTAAATACTTTCCGAAGGCACCCTATATAAATAAATAAAACAAATCTAAATATGGCTCTTGGTATGGGTGGTTTCCTAACAAAGGAGGCAGTGAGGTCAGAAATAATTTGGATTGTTATTTGCCTAAGGGCAAATATGTCATTAAGAGTCATGAACTGGCTCATAGTTTGAGACTGCATCAGAATGGAAGTGTACTAACAGTGCCATCTATTCTCTGACAATATCAATCTAACAAATTAAGTTCTCAAATTTGATACATCACAAGTCATCATCTCTTTTTCTAATTAAATCATGTTGATATAGACATGTTATGTATAATATATTCCATGCAGGTCTTGGTTCTTAATCCTGTGTTTATGAAATATGTTCATGAAGTCTGGCTTGACTATCAAGGCAAATACCCCTCCACTGGATTCATGGCTTTAATATTAGCCATACACATTTGTGACGAGGTAAGACTTATTATACATTTCAACAGCCATGCTCTGCTAGGAATGTGGATAGTATTGTACTTCACTACAAGACACACTGTATACTACACACGATGGGAGTACAGAAGAACAACACTGACATCGAATGGCTATACATAGCATAGCTCTGACAATATGCGGTATCATCACACATTACTGGCCCAAATCATGCTTAGGTAAGGCAGGGTGATATGGCCTAACCTTTTCAAACTTATGGGCGATTCACAATATATATATATATTTTTTTCTTCTCTAAATAATATGTTGTACCATTAAAAGGTACAATTCAATGCATTTCAAACAGCAATAATTGAATGAATTCGGGGCTTGTGAAATTATACATAGGCTAAATATTAGCCTTCCACAACCATGAGACCCACTAATAATTTTATTATTTTATCAAAATAGTTTTACCTGCTTTTTTTGTTGTTGCAATAATCACCGACCTTGCTTTCAAGTCTGTCTATCAAAATGCCCTTTTGTTACAAATTTAACCTGAACCATGCATAATGCACATTCACTAATAATGACCAACTTCTTGTAGCAGGCATTATAGAAAATTAACACAGGTATCATAAACAATCTCTCAAGCACAAGCCCACGTGCTAGTGAGTAGCTAGCTAATCTTTATATTTAAAAGTGGAACTGACAGCGTTAACTACTTTGCAGATATGAAACAAACAATACAATCATATCACTCATAAAATCACATTCCCAGTTTATGCTACAAAACCAAGAGGTTTTAAAAATAAGTTATATTTAACAAAAAAGTCCATGACGTAGAGTAAGGCATTGTGGGCAGAATAGATGGATGCAGTTCAATGTATGATTAATATAATTCACCAATAAATGTCTTAGTAGTCCAACAAATATTATAGCAGGTTCTAAATCACAGCTGGCCTGGTACATTGTTTGCTGCCTCCATTCGGGATGCACTGTTTCAGTTTAAATTACTCAATATTTTGGACAAAATGGACGAATGTGCTAACTAAGGCTGAGAATGTCAATAAAATCAAACTAGCAAGGGCAATGATCACAAGTCAGTCATAACGTGGCAAATATGCTAGCTTATCTATTTATGTATCTTTTTATTTAGCAAGCTAAGAACACTGAGTTTAACGTTAGCTAGCTAGCTGCTGGAAGGATGTTGTCATTGGAAGAGATGCCAACTTTTTCCCCCCATATCGTTTTTCTGTGGCTACAGCTAGAGATGCAGGTGTCATTTGGTTAGCTAGCAAGAAATATGCTATACTGAAGTTGAACGACTGTTACAGTTAATCAAATGTATTTGGCATTGACAAAATGATCGGACAGGCAAGTTCCCATTCAGTTGTCAAAACGTGGGTTGGGACACGCATGCATTGGCAGGCAAGCTGCAGAAGGGCAAGCAGGCTACTATTCCCCATCGTTTATAAATGCAATTTTGACGGCCAAGCTTGTTTGACAGGGTTTATCTACTGTTTCCTCGTTAGATTTTAGCTAATCTCGCTCTGGCTAACAGTTGTTGATCTTGTTGATGTGCATAGGCAACTGAGGGAGAGAGCCTACCTTTTCATGGTTAGTGGCTCAATGGGACTGTAAAGTTCCCAAATGTAAGAGGACTCCAGTGGTATTTACATATTTGCACAAATCCATTCAGGTGTATTTTGTGGCTTTTGGCGAATGCTTTCTATTGATCTAAAGTCCCGCTGTTGCTACTGCCTGTAAACACAGTCCAGTTCAAAGTGAATGATGGCAGGCCAATGTGGCAAATGGCTTATTTGCATATAGGCCTACTGTAGCTCTGATTGGCTATGGCGCACTGGTCTGTGTAAGACTCCTGTGCTGGACAAGACAGATGTTTTTATTATAGGTTTTATTTGCTGCAGTGTCTATTAATTGTCCAAACGCATGGCCATAGAATTTTCATAAATGCCTTACTGTACCTCATTCCCAAACATTCTATGAATGTATGAAAACGTGAAAATGACAATCTAAGTGCTCGCTTGTCAGAAAATGTCAAACAAAAATGCATCATTCTTCCTGGGGGTGTATATTAACAGATTTTAATAATATTTAATGTTTCTAAAACACTGTCAGTTCCACTTTAACATCTAGCCAACGTGGATCTATTTGCTAGCTAACAAGTTATACTGAACAAAAATATATATGCAACATGTAAAGTATTGGTCCCATGTTTCATGAGCTGAAATAAAAGATCCCAGAAATGTTCCATAAGCACAAAAAGCTTATTTCTGTCAAATAATAATAATAATAATAATTACAATAATATGCCATTTAGCAGACGCTTTTATCCAAAGCGACTTACAGTCATGCGTGCATACATTTTTGTGTATGGGTGGTCCCGGGGATCGAACCCACTACCTTGGCGTTACAAGCGCCGTGCTCTACCAGCTGAGCTACAGAGGACCACGAGGAGGACCACCAAATCATGTGCACAATTTTTTTTACATCCCTGTTAGTGAGCATTTCTTATTTGCCAAGATAATCCATCCACCTGACAGGTGTGGCATATCAAGACGCTGATTAAACAGCATGATCATTACACATGTGCACCTTGTGCTGGGAACAATGAAAGGCCACTAAAATGTGCAGTTTTTTCACACTTCACAATGCCACAGATGTCTCAAGTTTTGAGGGAGCATGCAATTGGTATGCTGACTGCAGGAATATCCACCAGAGCTGTTGCCAGAAAATTGAATGTTAATTTCTCTACTATAAAGTTGTTTTAGAAAATTGGGCTCCGACCTTTGGCTATGAAAAGGATGTAGGAAGCCAGACTACGCATACAATCATGTACCCAGAGAGTGACATAGATCTGGACAACACCACTAGGTTCCTGCTGATCCCTTTCAAGACTCTGGACTTTCAGTGGCTACCCGGCGCCATCATCAATGGATCTAACATCACTTTGTGAGTAACTACTTATTATAGATTATCTTTTGATTAGTCCAGCAGTTTGTTACGCCATGCATTTTTCTAAGATTACATAGCACCTCTTCTATTCAACAGCTCAAATGTATCTCTTAGACCAAAGATAAATGGCAACAAAGATTGTGAGTCACCTTGTTGATCATGATAATGTATTATTATTATAATACATCTAGTGGCCTTGTGGTTAGTGTCAGCCATCAGATTGGAAGGTTGGGAGTTCAAACCCCGGCCGAGTCGTACCAAAGTCTAAAAATGGAACCCGGTGTGTCTCTGCATGGTACTCAGCATTAAGGAGATAGATTGAGGATAAGGCCCTGCGATAGACTAGCGTCATGTCAAGGGGTGATACTTGTACATCAAGCTGCTTCATGCTACAGAAACAGGATATAGGCTCCTGCTCCTATGAGCTGTTCCAGTACAAGCCTACTTACTTTACTATAAAGTCAATGACCTCTAACGCATTATCTTTTTATATCTTGAACAGTATGATACACTTGTAATGCTTGTAATTCAGGATGTATGTGTTAGGTATGGGCAGAGCCATATATTACGATGAATAAGTATACATACAGTGCCTTCTGAAAGTATTCGGACCCCTTTACTTTTTCCACATTTTGTTAGGTTATGGCCTTATTTTAAAATGTATTGAATTGTTTTTTTCCCCCCTCATCAATCTACATACTATACCCCATAATGACAAAGCAAAAACAGGTTTATAGAAATGTTTGCTCATTTATTAAAAATTAAAAACGGAAATATCACATTTACATAAGTATTAATATTCTTTACTCAGTACTTTGTTGAAGCACCTTTGGCAGCGATTACAGCCTTGAGTCTTCTTGGGTATGATGCTACAAGCTTGGCACACCTGTATTTGGGGAGTTTCTCCCATTCTTCGCTGCAGCTCCAGATCAGGTTGGATGGGGAGTGTTGCTGCACAGCTATTTTCAGGTCTCTCCAGAGATGTTCGATCAGGTTTAAGTCCGGCTCTGGCAGGGCCACTCAAGGACATTCAGAGCCTTATCCTGAAGCCACTCCTGTGTTGTCTTGGCTGTGTGCTTAGGGTCGTTGTCCTGTTGGAAGGTGAACCTTCACCCCAGTCTGAGGTCCTGAGAGCTCTGGAGCAGGTTTTCATCAAGGATCTCTCTGTACTTTGCTCCATTCATCTTTCCCTCGATTCTGTCTAGTCTCCCAGTCCCTGCCGCTGAAAAACATCCCCACAGCATGATGCTGCCACCACCATGCTTCACTGTAGTGATGGTGCCAGGTTTCCTCCAGACGTGACACTTGGCATTCAGGCCAAAGGGTTCAATCTTGGTTTAATCAGACCAGAGAATCTTGTTGTTCATGGTATGAGAGTCCTTTTGGCAAACTGCAAGCGGGCTGTCATGTGCCTTTTACTGAGGAGTGGCTTCCGTCTGGCCACTCTACCATAAAGGCCTGATTGGTGGAGTGCTGCAGAGATGGTTGTCCTTTTGGAAGGTTCTCCCATCTCCACAGAGGAACTCTGGAGCTATGTCAGAATGACGATCGGGTTCTTGGTCACCTCCCTGACCAAGGCCCTTCTCCCCTAATTGCTCAGTTTGGCTGGGCGGCCAGCTCTAGAAAGAGTCTTGGTGGTTCCAAATTTCTTCCATTTAAGAATGATGGAGGCCACTGTGTTCTTGGGGACCTTCAATGCTGCAGACATTTTTTGGTACCCTTTCCCAGATCTGTGCCTTGACACAATCCTGTCTGGAGCTCTACGGACAATTCCTTCGACCTCATGGCTTGGTTTTTGCTCTGACATGCATTGTCTCCTGTGATCTTTGTTGTGAATGGCAGGTGGGAGAGGAGCTGTGTTTGTGTGTGTAATTGGGAAGGTGCACAGTCACAGCAGAAGGAGCCGAGACCAAAAAGACAACATGAACATAAGCGCTCATAAAAAAACAACTTGATTCTTGCGATACATGCATTTGGAATATCGTGCTAAAACAAACTTGAATTAATCACTCAACCCTACCTATAGGCTGCATAAACAAAATATCACTGCCATAAATAAAACATGTTCTAAACCTTATTATTAAACTAACTCTAAACATTTAATTCAAATGCAAGTGAATGTGTATGGATTTGGTAAAGACAAAGATGGGAACTGGCACCACTACTGGGAAACACCAGCCAATAAAATGCTGGAAACTGAGTGCAAGGTCGCCATGAAGCTATTGGAAATTCACAAACTACAGATATATTAATGGATTTTGATATCTCATCCAGATTATTACAAAAAGCTTTTGAAAAAAATAGTAATCATCAAATAGGTGTTAGCCTATTGTCTACATTGCACAGCATTTACAGATTCTTCTAATATTTTAACCTTTTATCTGCACTACTGTTTTTGGTTTTGCATGAACTTGAACAATGGAGTTATTGTGCCCGTTTTAACTTAAAGTAATCAGCAGTTATTAGCCATTAAATCAAACGTCTCCCTTGTAGTAAATTATTTAGAATTGTACATGTGTGAAGGTTGTGTTTTTGATGTCATGGACAATTAGTTTGATACTTTCTTAACCTTATTTGGTTACTTTGGGAGAGTTTTGCACTTACCAGAATGAAAGGACTGTTACTGTAAAAGTGACTATTACTTACTTGGGAGGATTTTGTTTATACTTTTCCATTGACTGATTAAAATAATACACACCACCTGCATCAGTAAGGCTTACATGCCCTTTGGTCTGTATTGACTTATCACATAGCTGTATGATCATCAGTACAACACTGACATCTAGAGGCTAAACATAGGCATAATGTTTGTTACATTGTTAGACATGACATCTCATTCCTATGAAAGACAATTTTATTCAAAATGATCACTTACATATTAATTTATACGTTTAAAAAAATGTTTTGTGGCAAGGAGCTGATGGCCAGGTATTTTTGTTTATTTTTATTATTAACAAATAATGTCATACAGCAACAACAGCACAAGTCACATACCAAAGTCACATACCAAGAAATACAAACTTCATACATTGTTGAACATAATATACTCTACAGGCATATTAATGTTTCGGGTGGGATCTCTGCTAGTTTTAAAGTTACGGCCCATTTTATATAGAGAAATTGGCATTGAGGAGTACACCACATCAATAAGTGCATCGATGACGTCGTCCCCACAGTGACTGTATGTACATACCCCAACCAGAAGCCATGGATTACAGGCAACATCCGCACTGAGCTAAAGGGTAGAGCTGCCGCTTTCAAGGAGCGGGACTATAACCCGGAAGCTTATAAGAAATCCCGCTATGCCCTCCGATGAACCATCAAACAGGCAAAGCATCAATACAGGACTAAGATCGAATCGTGCTACACCGGCTCCGACGCTCGTTGGATGTGGCAGGGCTTGAAAACTATTACAGACTACAAAGGGAAGCACAGCCGCGAGCTGCCCAGTGACACGAGCCTACCAAACGAGCTAAATTACTTCTATACTCGCTTCGAGGCAAGTAACACTGAAACATGCATGAGCGCATCAGCTGTTCCGGATGACTGTGTGATCACGCTCTCCGTAGCTGATGTGAGTAAGACCTTTAAACAGGTCAACATTCACAAGGCCGAGCATGCGCTGACCAACTGGCAAGTGTCTTCACTGACATCTTCAACCTCTCCCTGTATGAGTCTGTAATACCAACATGTTTCAAGCAGACCACCATAGTCCCTGTGCCCAAGAACACTAAAAGGTAACCTGCCTAAATGACTAACGTCTGTAGCCATGAAGTGATTTGAAAGGCTGGTCATGGCTCACATCAACACCATTATCCCAGAAACCCTAGACCCACTCCAATTTGCATATCGCCCCAACAGATCCACAGATGATGCAATCTCTATTGCGCTCCACACTGCCCTTTCCCACCTGGACAAAAGGAACACCTACGTGAGAATGCTATTCATTGACTACAGCTCAGCGTTCAACACCATAGTGCCCTCAAAGCTCATCACTAAGCTAAGGACCCTGGGACTAAACACCTCCCTCTGCAACTGGATCCTGGACTTCCTGACGGGCCACCCCCAGGTGGTAAGGGTAGGTAACAACACATCCGCCACGCTGATCCTCAACACGTAGGCCCATCAGGGGTGCGTGCTCAGTCCCCTCCTGTACTCCCTGTTCACTTATGACTGCATGGCCAGGCACGACTCCAACACCATCATTAAGTTTGCCGATGACACAACAGTGGTAGGCCTGATCACCGACAACGACGAGACAGCCTATAGGGAGGAGGTCAGAGACCTGGCCTTGTGGTGCGAGGACAACAACCTCTCCCTCAACGTGATCAAGACAAAGGAGATGATTGTGGACTACAGGAAAAAGAAGAGGACCGAGCAAGCCCCCATTCTCATCGACGGGGCTGTAGTGGAGCAGGTTGAGTGCTTCAAGTTCCTTGGTGTACACATCACCAACAAACTAACATGGTCCAAGCACACCAAGACAGTCGTGAAGAGGGCACGACAAAACCTATTCACCCTAAGGAGACTGAAAAGATTTGGCATGGGTCCTCAGATCCTCAAAAAGGTTGTACAGCTGCACCAGAGAGCATCCTGACTGGTTATGGCAACTGCTTGGCCTCCGACTGCAAGGCACTACAGAGCGTAGGGCGTACGGCCCAGTACATCACTGGGGCCAAGCTTCCTGCCATCCAGGACCTCTATACCAGGCGGTGTCAGAGGAAGGCCCTAAAAATTGTCAAAGAATCCAGCCACCCTAGTCATAGACTGTTCTGTCTGCTACCGCACGGCAAGCGGTACCGGAGCGCCAAGTCTAGGTCCAAGAGGCTTCTAAACAGCTTCTACCCCCAAGCCATAAGACTCCTGAACATCTAATCAAATGGCTACCAGACTATTTGCATTGCCCCCCACCCCTCTTTTACGCTGCTGTTACTCTGTTTATTATCTATGCATATTCACTTTAATAACTCTACCTACATGTAAATATTACCCCAATTACCTCGACTAACCGGTGCCCCCGCACATTGACTCGGTACCGGTACCGACTGTATATAGCCTCGCTATTGTTATTTTTACTGCTGCTCTTTAATTATTTGTTACTTTTATTTCATATTATTTTATATTGTATTTTTTTGCGATTTTTTGTTGTTATTCTTAAAACTGCATTGTTGGTTAAGGGATTGTAAGTAAGCATTTCACAGTAAGGTCTACCTACACCTGTTGTTTTCGGCGCATGTGACAAATAACATTTGATTTGTAACCAATCACAGCCCTCCTTTACTTATATCATTGCACATCCTGCAAGTCACTGTGTGTAATGCTTACAAATTGGATCATAACTCTAAAAGGTAGCCGAGATTCTACTCTGGAACTTTGATATACCTGTGGAGCAGGGCTCTCCAACCCTGTTCATGGAGTGGTTCCCACCTGTAGGTTTTCGCTCCAACCCTAGTTGTGACTAACCTGATTTCAGTTCATCAACCACCTAATTATTAGAATCAAAATGTAAAATATGTCAACAATCCTTCCTCCTAAGGACCACTATGGATTCAACTTAACGAAAATCCTGGTCTTTTTCTGTCCTTGTTTTGTGAGTAATCACCCTGTTATAGAGCTGAGACAGCTTGGTGCTGGCCATCCCAGACTGCACCAGGTAGACTTGTGGTAGATGTTGATCCTCCATCCCTAGCATGGACCTGCAGTCTGTCTTCCTGTTTGGTTGGGTGTCTATCCAAGCCAGTTAAAGTAAACAGCCTTCTCCCAGCCTCTGCTGCCAACTCACAGCTGAGTGTAGGATGTTTACATTAACTGTAGTCTTAGCACTGTATAGACTGTCTGTATGGTGTCCTCCAGAGTATTGTATGAGGAGTGAAAATTACAACTGAGATGCACATACTAAGAGTTTATGTAGAACAGTTGTCATCGTAAATTCATTTAAGCATTCCATTGAGATCAGTAGAGAAGTGTTCTTCAATCTTGGTCCTGGAGACCCACAGGGTGTGCACTGCTGGCTTCTGATTCAGCCCACTGAGCTCAGCACTGTGGGCTTGTCCATTAGCTATCCTACATCAGATTTCTTAGTCGTGCTGGAGTGACACAAAAGCCTCCACAACTTGTGGGTCACCAGGACCAGGGTTGAAGGACACAACTATGGCATTGATAAGGATGCAGACTGTGGTAGTAACAGTGTCTTTAGCAGGTCAAGCAACACATGGCACTGGTCTGTTTCCCAGTAGGAGCTGGAGGCAGCCAGCAGCAGAAAACACCTGACTGAAAGCTCTGATGATGTAGAACAGATTCCAGTCGGGGATGTTTACAGCCCCAAACAGCCCTCGTTTGGCACAAACCAGGTGGAACAACATACATGCATCTTATTTGACAGCTTGCATGATCAACAGAAAAATGGAGCCCACTTGCATCTTCAAAAAGTACAAATGTAAAAACATGATGCACTCATTACGTGAGTCGCTCTGCACAAGAGCGTCTGCTAAATGACTAAAATAGAAATGTAAAAAAGCCCAATTAACAGTTACACTGCTCACAACGCAATATATTATAAAGTGTAGCCTACGATTGGAACCAAACATAGCTATCCACACACGACACAGCTCTATCCCATTTTTCAAAAAGCTTTGTTCAGAGATTAGCGTGTTTGGGGAGCGGCATTGTGGAGATGTTTAGGGTCAGAGGGGTCACCAGTGCTGTTCCTTCCCAGCCTCCAGGGTTAAATCCCAAATGGCACCCTATTCCCTATATAGTGCACTACACTGGTCAAAAGTAGTGCACTATATAGGAAATAGGGTGCCATTTAAGATGCACACCACTACCCTAGAGCAGATGGGTTAGAACTGATTCCCAGCCAAGAGGCCCAGGCCACTGGTTGGTCTAACAATGGGCCTGGGTCAGGAGAGCAGTGACATTGTCCTCCACCAAGAATCAACTCCTGACCCCTTGTTCTCCCAACCCAATGTGCCACAATCTGGACAGCTGAGAAACAATGCTGTCATCTGGAAAACACTGACATGAGGCCAAGGAGGATGGCTGGAGGGAGGATGTTACTCAAGTGATCGCCAAATGGCACCCTATTCCCTATATAGTGTACTACTTTTGACCAGGGACCATTCTGAATCAATTGAAGAACATCCTCCCTTCATCTTCCAAGCCAAGCACTAGTTCTCCCTTTTTACATTTTATGTTGATATACAAATGACTAAGAGCACATACATCAAACATCAATATACAGTACATTGAA